TCGCTGCGATCCAACATGTCAATCTGCCACCATTTTGGCCCAACAGCCCCAGCACATGGTTTCTGCAGGTTGAGGCGCACTTCCGTCTACGGCAAATCACCAGCCAACAGACCAGGCACTGGCATCTGGTATCCTGCTTACCTCCGGACGTAGCCGACGACTTAGCTGATATTTTATCATCCCTACGACACGTTGAAGGCAGCTATCATTTCCCGCAAGTCTGAGTCCGAACACAGCAGACTCCAACAGCTCATCACGGCTACAGAGCTCGGTGACCGTCGCCAATCACAGCTCCTGTGACGCATGCGCCAGCTCCTTGGCGGCCCCTCCGCCCCTCAAGAGGAGAAGCTGTTACGTGAGTTGTTCCTCCAGCGCTTACCGCAGAGCATGGTCCCGGTCCTCGTTGCTGCAGGAGATGTCCCACTAGACACACTCGCTGAAATGGCTGACCGAGTGGTGGACTACTCGCGGGCACATAGCCTCAACGCCGTTACCGCACCGCCACCGGCCACCGCTGCAGACCCGGCGCTCGCGAGCATCGAGAACCGTTTGAACGCCCTTGTCCGGCGCCTCGATGACTTTGTACCTGCGCATCGTCGAGCGTCATCCAGGTTCCAGATACACAGTGGCTCCTCGACGCCCCCACGTTCTCCGGAACTTCGGCCACCCGACGCGCCGCTGGACGTTTCATCCTCAACCGTGTGCTGATACCACCGCCGATTCGGTGCCTCTGCTCGCAAATGCACTCGCCCATGCTCCTGGTCGGGAAATGCGACGACCGGCCACTGACGGCGGCAAGTGGTACTGGTCGAAAGTCATGCCGCCTTTTCTATGTTTCTGATAAGATCACTGGCGCTTGCTTCCTAGTCGACACAGGAGCCCAGGTTAGCGTCATCCCGGCCTCATGTGCAGATCGCCGTCGCAACGAACAGACCTGCCCACTCCAAGCGATCAACAATTCCGCCATTCGCACATACGGCCAACGCTCTCTTACACTTGACCTTGGACTACGCCGTACGTTCCGCTGCATTTTCATCCTCGCTGACGTCTCGCAAGCTGTTCTTGGAGCTGACTTCCTCAGTTTTTTCAACCTTGCTGTGGACATGCATGCTCATCGCCTCATTGATCTCAACACCCGCCTCTCCATCAACGGTGTACTCTGTACTTCCTCGCCAACGGGACTGCGAGCTATCACACCTGCTTCGCCGTATGCAAAAATACTCGACGACTTTCCCAGCATCACGAAGCCGCACACCAGAGAGTCACCGGTGAAGCATTCCATCACTCACCACATTGTGACCACTGGACCTCCCGTTTTTACACGACCCCGTCGACTATCTGGAGAACGCCTCGCCATCGCCCGCCGTGAGTTTGAGCACATGCTTGAACTCGGCATTGTGCGGCCTTCCTCCAGCAACTGGGCGTCGCCACTCCACATGGTGCCGAAGAAAGATCCTGGTGACTGGAGACCATGTGGAGATTACCGCGCTCTCAATGCCCACACCTTACCAGACCTCTATCCACTTCCTCACATACAGGATTTCACATCAAACTTGGCTGGGTGCACAATATTCTCTAAGATTGACTTAATGAAGGCTTACCATCAGATTCCTGTAGAACCCGCCGACATTCCGAAGACGGCCATCACCACCCCATTCGGTCTGTTTGAATATGTGAGGATGCCTTTTGGATTGCGCAACTCTGCCCAGACCTTTCAGTGCACTATCAACGAGGTCACGCGAGGTCTTGATTTCGTATTTGCCTACCTTGATGACCTCCTTGTAGCAAGCTCATCCGGCCCTGAGCATGAAGCCCACCTGCGCACCCTGTTCCACCGCCTGGATGATTACGGCTTCGTAATTAATCCCAATAAGTGCCTCTTCGGCGTCTCTACAATAGAGTTCCTAGGCTACCTTGTCACTCCAAAGGGTATCCAACCACTCGCCAGCTAAGTGAAGGCTATTCAAGACTTTCCACCCCCGACTTCACTGAAGAGACTCCGAGAATTTCTGGGCCTACTAAACTTCCATCGCCACTTTATTCCAAGGTGCGCCACATTCCTAAAGCCCTTGACCGACCTATTGGCTAAAAAGAAAGACCCGGCTGCGCCACTGCAGTGACCCAAGGACGCTGCATCTGCCTTCGACACTGCCAAGAAGGCTGTGGCAGACGCTACCATGCTCATACATTCCGTCCCTGATGCCCCAATTCGTCTCATCACCGATGCATCAAGCGTGGAAGTTGGCGCTGTTCTCGAGCAGCACGTATCCTGTTGGCAGCCCCTTGGGTTTTTCTCGCAAAAACTGAAGCCACCAGAGACAAAATACATTACATTTGCCCGAGAACTCCTCGCGGTATACCTCGCCATCAAACATTTTCGTCATTTATTGGAGGGCCGGGACTTTTACGTCGTTACACACCACAAGCCCCTGACGTCTGCCTTCCATCGCAATCACAGCAATTATACTGCACTGGAGATCCGTCAACTATGCTTGATTTCCGAGTTCACTGTGGATCTCAGACACGTACATGGGCCGGAAAATGCTGCTGCTGATGCACTATCCCGCATCGGTGCCTTGTCGACCCAGCCACCACTAGACATGGAAGAGCTAGCAGCTGCCCAAAGCAACGATCCTGAGGTGCATCGTCATCGCTCTTCATCCACGTCTCTATCGTTCATGGAGTGCCCGCTTCTATTTTCTACCTCATTAATAACGTGCGAAACGTCTACTGGTGTCCCCCGGCCCTTCGTGCCTTCAGCTTTTCGTCGTGCAATTTTTGATCAATTGCACAACATGAGCCATCCTGGTACTCGTGCGACCCAGAAACTAGTCACATCTCGTTTCCTTTGGCCAAGCATCAATGCTGATGTCCGACGCTGGGTGCGAACCTGCCTTGAGTACCAGCGCGCTGAAGTTCACCGTCACACTGTCATGGCAACATCCCCGTTTCGGCCTCCAGACGCAAGGTTTTCTCACGTGCATCTCGACATCGTCGGTCCTCTTCCGTCATCGCAAGGAGCCTGTTACCTGCTGACATGTGTGGATCGCTTGACCCGATGGCCGGAAGCGTTTCCCATTTCCGACATTTCAGCACCAACAGTTGTCAAGGCTTTCACAAACGGCTGGGTGTCGCGCTTTGGATGCCCTTCTTTCGTCACCACTGATCGCGGTCGTCAGTTTTAATCGGCCCTTTTCACCGCACTTGCCAATATCCTGGGCATTCGACACATCCACACAACTGCCTACCATCCTTCCGCCAATGGCATGGTCGAACGGCTTCATCGACAATTGAAAGCTGCCCTCACTGCTCACCAGCCAAGGGAACGTTGGCTCGACCACCTCCCCTTCGTACTTCTAGGCATCCGATCAGCATTGAAAGTGGATCTCAGCTGCTCATCAGCCGAACTAGTCTATGGCGTTTCCCTGCGTCTTCCAGGAGAATTCTTCGAGCCATCATCGCCACCTTCCACTCACGATGCCTCCACGTACATTCGAGAGCTGCGCACCACGTTTCGAGACCTTGCTCCTGTGATTCCTGCCGACCGACACCCCCAGTCTGTCTTTCAATTTAAAAACCTTACTGCCATGCTAAAGTAATACTACACAAAGAACTAAAGATATGGAAACCGCTTCCTGCAGCCATTAGCTATGCAAGAAACCACTCAGCGTCTTACTTTAAAAAACCACTTAGCCTTTCCTGCTTCTGGGAGATAAACGACGCCAGTGATGACTTCACATTATGAGAACGAATTGTAACGCATTTCTTGCACTTACCTTTCCAGTCATTCAATTTTTTACGCTCCAGGAGGAACGGTGACGGAAAATCTCACGGGAGGGTCGGTAATGACGCGATATAAAAAGCGTTTTAGAGATTCGAAGGAGCATTCTTTTGGGAGCGTATAAGTCTGCAGAACACGAAAATATTATTTTGAAAGGGGTTCTTATTTGTGGTAGCAGGAAGTCGTACATAACTTGAAGCAAACTGCTGTTTCGGGCACTTGGTTGGACACGGTGATTTTTTTATGCGAAGGACAGCTAGCCAATGGTGAGCTAGAGCGACGAGATCTTGAAGCTAGGACGTATAAATACAGAGCATCTCACAAGAAATACGTTAAAGTTGGAGATCATTGGAAGAGTCCCTCGCTCCGCAGGGCACACAGAAAAAGCTGAAAGCAAGAATGATTGATTGAATGATTGATTGATTGATTGATTGATTGATTGATTGATTGATTGATTGACTGATTGATTGATTGATTGATTGATTGATTGATTGATTGATTGGCGAACGAACGGACGGACGGACGGACGGACGAACGGACGGACGGACGGACGGACGGACGGACGGACGGATGGATGGATGGATGGATGGATGGATGGATGGATGGATGGATGGATGGATGGATGGATGGATTAATATTACTGTATGATCGCCTTCGGTTGTCTATTTACGAGATTTTAAGAAAAATCGAAGATGGGTTTTTTTATTATTCATTTCAGTGGAGTACACTTTTGCCGATATGAGAACTTTGAGGCAATATATAAACATTTACATTTGCCCTACGGCAGCAATAATAATGTACCTAATGAACACATATATCCTTCAAACGTGTCAAGTTTGAAAACGCTGCTTGCATTACTTTCGGAGAAAAAAAAATTGGGAATACGTAACTCTTTTTAAACTGCCTCAAAATTAGACATTTTTAAAAGCTATTTTCTTAAGGTCTACAAACTTGAAACCGTATGAATTCATTCTTAAATAGACATGCATTTCTGGTAAAAAATATCTTCCTTGAAACAAAAATATTTGTTTTTAATAGCATCTGCAGTTTTCAAAAATGACAGGTGACGAAATTGGTGCCGCCGTGTTGCTGAAGTTTGATTTTTTTCTCGTAAGTTATGCCGTTAATCATAAAACAAAGTTGACTTTCAGGCTACCTGGTGAGAGGTGCACGAAATATAAAATACTCAATGAAATCTAAAATATCAACTTTTGGACCCGTGTCGATCTCCGTGGAATCACCAATGATTTATCCCTAATGCAAGAAACCGAAACAGGAGCAATGATCGCAGAAACTAATCAATTTCCACCTTTGACAACACCACATTGATTTTTTTTCTGTAAAAGAGATAGATCAAGCACTGTGACCCTTTGAACAAGTTTCCAAAAAAGGAGTCGGCGTGTTTGCGGAGCACCACACCTCTTTCACAAATCGTTTTCTATCGCCTATACTAACAACATCGTACAAATCGTCTCTTTTGTTTTTCATGATCGGTATCAGGTTTCTGGTGGCTTCGAAGTACTCGAGGTCTACCTCGGCAATGACTACTTCTTCGTAGGCGCCCGCCGAAGCAACGACTTTGCCGAGGGGATCGACAAGCATGCTGTGACCACACGTGACGCAAGAACCATTCTCGTCTCTGGCCGGCGAGGCAGTCGCCACGTACAGCTGATTGTCGACTGCCCTGCCGCGCTGGAGCAGCTCCCAATGAAGAGGCCCCGTGGTCATGTTGAAGGCACCGGGGTAAAAGAGCAGCTTGCAACCCTGTTTGGCGTAGAGCTGCGCCATTTGGGCGAAGCGAAGGTCGTAGCAGATGCCGAGGCCCACCTTGCAGTAAGGGGTGTCGAACGTGGTCAGGCTGTTGCCGGCCGTGAAGCTGTCGGATTCCCTGAACGTTATCTTTCCGGGAATGTCAATGTCGAAGAGGTGAACCTTGCGGTGCTTTGCGAGCATTTCACCGTCAGGACCGTAGACGAGACAGGTGTTGTAGAGCTTGCCGTTCTCCGTTTCGGCCATCGATCCTCCTATGAGATAGACGCCATTCTCTCGCGCAGCTCTAGACAACATCTCACTGGTCTCACCGGGGATGGACTCGGCGTACTTCGGGAAGTACTGGGCGCCGTACGGAAAGCCGAAACATTCGGGCAGGCACACGAACTTCGCTCCGCTCGACGCGGCTTTCTTGATTTCGACTCCGGCGCGAGCGAGGTTATCTGCCTTGCTTGCTTTCACCGCGAGCTGGATGAGTGCGACACGGAATCTAGTGCTGGCCATTGCTGATCTTGTTTGGTCGGCAGGCAAACTTACGAGAAACCCGCGATGCACGGAGTGGTAGCGGAAAATCACGTCACTCGCTCCAGACACCGGCTTTTGAAGCAACGTATCATGTCCACATCATGCCGAAGCCAACAAACAAAAAAATTTGAAAACAGCTGTGCGTTAGTGAATCATGCAACAGATCGCAACGGATACAGGCTCGTTTTTAGTGCAAGGACATAATTCGCAGCGATGAAGCATTACCGCGCTTTCGAGAGCTGGGAGCAGCTGGCTAAACCGGATGAACCCGCACACAAAACGAAAACCTCATTATTTCCACGAGCACTGGGAAGAGGTTTTGTTTACTTGGACGGCAAGGGGTGCAAAAAAATAGGGATGAAAAAAAAACTGTAACCTATAGTTGTGCGTAGGAGAGGCCGTTTGTACGGGTGTTCCAGTGTTTATCGCGGGTGTGTATGCGCCCAACTTTCCTTGCTTTAATACCCGAATTTGGAAGACTCTGCGTTATTACGCTATGGTAAAATTGACTATCTGATGTTTTTTTATGTATATGTTCGCAAAGTGTACACAGAAACGCCGGAGTCAAAATGTCTTTCGTGGAGGTATTTTGTAGGCGGAAAGAGCAATAAGTTTGATGGGCTCCCATCGGGGTGCTGATACGAGCCCCGGAGACTTGTTCCGGTTCCAAGAGTAAAGAGAATCCTGACAGTTCACACTCTTGATGGGTGTTCCCACCTGCCTACGGGCCTCCATCACAGGGTCTCTAAAAGAGGACGTGGTATGTGACCTTTGGGTGGCTTTGCGCGTGGGAATAACGTTGGTGGCATTAGATCGACGCCTATATGAAGGACATCCTGAAGAATTTTAATAATGGATAGATGGATCGAGGCAGAGCTTTATTAAAAGACGCCAGGTCTGCGCGCAAGGCGCAGCACAGTCACAACGAAAGCCAGAAGAGTGGCCTCTCAGAGCCTTTTCTGAACACTCTCTGGGTGAACACTGCAAGCACACAAGCTTGATACCCCCTAGGTCATTACTAATAAATTTTTTTGTGTGGTAGGCCAGCATTCGCTATACTATTTTTCGTCATTCTTCTGAGAAACCTAGTATCCGCTAAACAGATGCAAGGAATTTGGTGCCAGTTGTTCTCGCAGTGGCTGACGACGATGAGAAATTATGGCTGAAGTGGGTATGCGCCACAGTTGATAGAGAAACAATAACAAGCTTTTGTGATGGTTCGGAGCATTGGACGGCACACTCGTTGCGCTATTTGCATTGTGCGACGACTGGTTGTTCTTTAGCTGCTTTAAAACGCTTTATAAGTCGTATTAACGCGGTTTAATTCCCTGGTATCAAGCCTGCCTAAGGCAAGTTTGACAACAAGTCACAAGCACCGGCGTAACGCAGGGGTAGAATACTGGGCTGGCACCCAGCGGACCCGGGTTTCAGCCCCACTGTGCCATTGGTGCTAGGTTTTTTACAGCGAAAGCTGTTATGAGATCACAACTCGGGTCACGCGCAGTTGTCCGCCGCCGCCGTCGGTGTCCGTAACCACATCACACGAAATTAGAAAAAAAAACCTAGCTCCAATGGCACAGTGGGGCTAGAACGTGGAGGCCAGCCCAGTATTCTACCACTGAGCAACGCCAGTACTTGTAGCTTGTCAAACTTGCCTTAGGCAGGCTTGATCTAGCGTCCATGACACAGTGGGGCTCGAACCCGGGTCCGCAGGGTGCCAACCCAGTATTCAGCCACTGAGCTACAACGGTGCTTGTACTTGCAAGCCTGCTTGCAGTAGTTACTTACTCAGTGAGTGCTCCGAAAAGGCTCTGAAAGACCGCTCTTCCAGCTTTCGCTGTGACGTGTGCTGCACTTTCCGCGCAGGCCTGGCGTGTTTCTTTTTCTAATTCCGTGCGAGGTGATTATGGACACCGGTGGCGGCGGCGGACAACTGCACGTGACCCGAGGTGTAATCTCATAACAGCTTTCACTGTAAAACAGCTTGAGGTGCATGACTCAGCGACAAGGCGGTCACTCCCGCTTTGAAAATATATTGTTTTACGACAACCTGACCCAGTCTCGCTACCTTGCCGACAAAACGTGCGCAAACACACATACACACACACATACATACATACATACATACATACATACATACATACATACATACATACATACGTACATACATACGTACGTACATACATACATACATACATACATACATACATACATACATACATACATACATACATACATACATACATACATACATACATACATACATACATACATACATACATACATACATGCATGCATGCATACATGCATGCATGCATACATACATGCATGCATGCATACATGCATGCATACATACATACATACATACATGCATGCATGCATGCATACATGCATGCATGCATACATACATACATACTACATACATACATAACATACATACATACATACTACATACATACATACATACATCATACATACATACATGCGTGCATGCATGCAAACATACATACATACATGCATGCATGCATGCATGCATGCATACATACATACATGCATGCATGCATACATACATGCATGCATGCATACATGCATGCATACATACATACATACATGAATGCATGCATGCATGCATACATACATACATACATACATACATACATACATACATACATACATACATACATACATACATGCATGCATGCGTGCATGCATGCAAACATACATACATACATGCATGCATGCATGCATGCATGCATACATACATACATACATGCATGCATGCATACATACATGCATGCATGCATACATGCATGCATACATACATACATACATGCATGCATGCCTGCATACATGCATACATACATACATACATAAGCCATACATACATAATACATACAATACATACATACGTACATACATACGTACATACATACGTACATACATACGTACATACATACGTACATACATACGTACATACATACGTACATACATACGTACATACATACGTACATAATACATACATACATACATACATACATACATACATACATACATACATACATACATACATACATACATACATACATACATACATACAATACATACATAATACATACATACATACATGCATGCATGCATGCATGCAAACATACATACATACATGCATGCATGCATACATGCATGCATGCATACATACATACATACATACATACATACATACATGCATGCATGCATGCATGCAAACATACATACATACATGCATGCATGCATACATGCATGCATGCATGCATACATACATGCATGCATGCATACATACATGCATGCATGCATACATGCATGCATACATACATACATGCATGCATGCATGCATACATGCATACATACATACATACATACTACATACATACATACATACATACATACATACATACATACATACATACATACATACATCATACATACATACATACATACATACATACATACATACATACATACATACATACATACATACATACATACATACATACATACATACATACATACCTTAACTAAGGTTTTCTCACACTTTCCAGAACCGAAAGGTTCTCTCGCAGATACTTTACATGCATCATTCTGACGCTCAGAAAGCTGAAATAAGCCCGTTCATGTCGTTACCAATATCCTACCTTGTAAGCGTGTCTGAAAGGTGTGGTATTTTTGCTTTATTTTATAAAGAACCAACGTGGTTATTTTCAGAAATAAAAGGAGGGGTGTGGACGTCACACAGCAAATCGATATACTAATTGGCCATTTTAGGGAATGCGTTATGCCTGACATTAGCAAGTGGTGCATGCAGAATTCGAGACCGTACCATTCTATGGTCACTGCATCGTACCTTGCCAATCACTTCCACATCCTGCACGATTCCAGGGTGTGCACTCATTATAAAGTCTATTTCGTTCTTATTTTCGCCATTAGGGCTCCTCCATGTCCACTTGCGGTTTTCTCGTTTTCGGTAGAAGGTATTCAAAATCCGTAAATTATTGCGTTCTGCGAATTCTACTAGTAGCTCTCCTCTGGCGTTCCTAGTACCGATGCCATAATCTCCTACTGCCTGGTCTCCAGCGTGCTTCTTCCCTACCTTTGCATTAAAGTCGCCCATCACTATAGTATACTGTGTTTTTACCTTACTCATTGCCGATTCCACGTCTTCATAGAAGCTTTCAACTGAAGCGTCATCATGGCTGGATGTAGGCGCGTAAGCCTGTACTACCTTCATCTTGTATCTTTTATTCAGTTTAATTACGATACCTACCACCCTTTCATTAATGCTATAGTATTCCTCTATGTTGCCAGCTATGTTTCTGTGAATGAGGAACCCCACTCCCAGTTCTCTTCTGTCTGCCAAGCCCCTGTAGCAAAGGACGTGCCCATTCTGTAGCACCGTATAGGCCAATCACGCAAGAAGCCAATCAATCAGCTAGCACTGAGAGGGAAAGTACAGGAATTCAGAGTGTCACTGCAGAACAGGTACTCGGCTCTCAGTGAGGAAACCAACCTTAGCGTAGATACAATGAATGATAATCTGACGAGTATCATTATGGAGTGTGCAGTGGAAGTTGGAGGGAGGGTAGTTAGACAGGACACTGGCAAGCTTTCACAGGAAACGAAGAACTTAATTAAGAAGCGTCAAATCATGAAAGTGTCAAGTACAACAGACAAAATAGAACTGGCAGAGCTTTCGAAGTTGATTAATAGACGTAAAGTATGCGATGTAAGAAGGTATAACATGGAGAGAATTGAACACGCTCTGAAAAACGGAGGAAGTGTCAAAGCATTGAAGAGGAAACTTGGGATAGGCAAAAGTCGGATGTATGCACTAAGGGACAAAGAAGGCAAAATAACTACCAATATGGATAGGATAGTTAAGATAGCGGAGGAGTTTTACAGGGATCTGTACAGTAGCCGAGACAACCACGACCTTAATACTATCAGTACCCCAACTAGCAGTAACCCAGATTACACCCCACCAGTAATGATAGAAGAA